GGAAGGAGGGAGGGAGGGCGGTCAGCGCTGCTCCCTCCGTGCCCTCCCCACGATCCTCAGACATTCCGGTTTTGTAACTCCCCTTGTGATCGCGCGGCTCAAGGTTCCCACAACCTCCAAAACTCCTTTTCAACCTCCAAAACTCCTTTTCAACCTCCAAAACTCCTTTTTAACTTCCAAAATTCCTTCTCCCCGCTGGACCTCACTCCCCGGACATCCGAGCGGCCCCAAAAGCGCCTTAAATCCCGGCCCCAAAAGCGAAATCCCCTGGGGAAGGAGCTCCTTGGGACGCTCGGGGGAGCTGCCCGGGACCACCCCGGTCCCCACGGCGGGCAGTGCGATGAGCTGCCAGGTCTCAGCCCGCCCGCGGGGCCGAGGGGGGCGATGGGGACCCCGAAAGAGACCGGTGGGGACAATCCCAGGGGACACACGGGGAAGGAGCCGCTGCCGCCGGGTCCCGTTCCTGCAGCGTGGGGGCTCTCGGGACSCCGCTAAAAGCGGGGAGGGGGCGGTTCGGGAACCCACGCAGCTTCCACGGGGATCCCACGGGGTGAGACCCCTTCTCTCCCTCCTCGCCCCTGCCGTACCTGCCGCGCCCGCCACGCGTGGACCCCGGAGAGGGGTAGTGGTCCCCTGGGGGGATCCCACGCGGAATTTATGGGGCGGGACCCCCTCTCCCCTCCCTCCTGACCCCCCCTCGGTGCCCCCCGAGCCGGTGCCGTACCTGCCGCGCCCGCCGCTCCGCCGCCCCGCGCCCTCCGCCGGCCCCGCCGCTCCTTATAGCCGCGCCCCGGCCGGGGGGGCACGGGGAGGCGCCGGGGCAGCCGCGACCGGCCCGGGGCGGAGCGCAGCGGGGCGGGGGTCGGGCCTGGGGCTGMGGAGCAGAGCCCCGAATTCGTGCGGCGCCCTGGCCCGGGGGTCCCCGGTGGCGATTGGGGTGTCCCCTGCTCCTGATCCCCTCGCGGTGCGCCCCTCGTCGAAGCGGGGGGGTCCGGCAATCCCGCCAGCACCCCCTGCTCCATCCATGGGGGGTTTCCCCATTCCCTGGGTGTGTGGTGAGGATGGGAAGGGAGGGGTAAAGAGAGGAGGGGGCTGCGTTTCCCCCCCAGCCAATGGTGCGGGCAGCTGGGCACAACCGCGACAGGGACACCCCAGCCTGGGACACGAGCTGGTGTCACTGGGATCCAGCCCCATGTCCCCATTGCCAGCGCTCAGGGACCACCACCAGGGGAGTCTTGGCCACCCCCAAGCTCCGGTCGCCACCTCCCCCCGCGGCACCAGCACCTGCTGCGGGATCTCAGCCGCCCACGCGGGGCTGTCCCCGCCCTGCCGGGAGCATCTCCCGGCGCTGCCCAAGGATTCCTCGAGGGTGCCTCACGGCAGCCAGGACGGGAGCACCGCGGGCTTCCCGGGGCGGCAGCGGGCCACGGGCCACGGGCCACGGGCTACGAGCCACGGGCCACGGGCGGAGGGGAGGGCTCCCGGCTGAACCCACGGGGATCAGGGGGGGCTTCATTCGGGAGTGGGGAGCACCAAACCCCGCCCGGAACGGGGGGTCCCTGCTCCCCCGAGCACTCCGACCCGAACGAGGGTCCGTCCGCAGGGACCCCGCTCTTCCAAGCGCTCCTGGAAGGGCCTTTTCCTGTCAGAGCGTCCTTGGGCAGCGGAGCTGGAGGCCGGAGCGCCGCAGGAAGGAACTGGGTCCAGCCCAGAGTCCGACTGTCTGCAGCCATGACTGGACTCAAAGGAATCCGCAGTGAGTCACCGATTCCCTGAGACCCTCGGGGAACAGAGCAAAGCCACTGTCACAAAGGACATCCCTGAGTCACCGAGACCCCGAGACCCTCGGGGCAAAGCCGCTGGCACAAAGGACATCCCCGCGTCACCGATTCCCGGAGACCCTCGGGGAACAGAGGAAAAGCCGCTGGTACAAAGACATCCCCGAGTCACCGAGACCCTCGGGGAAACAGAGCAAAGCCACTGGCACAAAGGACATCCCCGAGTCACCGAGACCCTCGGGGAAACAGAGCAAAGCCACTGGCACAAAGGACATCCCCGGCCGCCTCTCCGTGTCCTTGCGCCGCCCCCGCCAGCTCCCCTGACAGCTCCGAGGCTGCCCATTCCCGGAACAGCGCTGTCCCCCTGCCAGCTGATAAGAGCCGGCCGCGCGGAGGCGGCAGCGGCGACAGTCCAAGCGCTGGGAGCATCCCCTCACCCCGTTCTTGCGGCTCCGCTCCGGCGGGACGCGGCCAGCTGCTCACRGCTCCCTCCGTGTCACTCTGACGCCGCCGTGTCCCCTGGACGCGTGTCCCCTCCGCGGGGTGTGGCAGCCTATGTGGACGGGGACAAAGTCCTGCCGGGGCACCTCGGGCCGGTGTGACGGTGACGGCGACAGGCAGATCCTTGGGCTGGCACGCAGCCCGGACCCTGCCCGTGCCACCATCCCGGCCATGCTGGCAGAGGGACAAGGTCCCAGGAGCCCTGTCCCCACGGCACGGAGCMGGGGTGGCCGTGAGTGCCCCATGAACGCGCTGAGGCTGTGCCGGGGTGTCACGGCTGTGGGGTGCAGGGGGAGCACCCCGAGCCCGTGGAGGGGTGAGGATCCATCCCAGATGAATCCCTCCAAACCCACCCACGCAGCCGGGAACACCCGGAGATGTCAGCACACCGCCCCTGTAAATTTTGGGGTGCGGCAGCCCCCCAGATCCCTTTCAAAGCCAAACCACCCAAGGATTGCACCCCACAATCGGGCACTCCGTGGAACCGGGGGGTGCTGGAGTCCCCATAAACCCCCGTGGGGTCCCCACGAGTCCCCATCCCCGGGCCGGTGTGAGCGGGGCAGGGAGGAGCGGCCCCTTCAGTGCTCGGCTCCAAGACGATCCTGGAGCGCAGTTTTTTGGCAGGAGGAGGCCAGGAAAGGCAGGGAGTGACCAGCGGCCAGCCCCGGCTTCCTCCGCAGCCAGCGGCACGGGAAGGGGCCACCCCACCCCCTCTGCCCGTGTCCCTGGGTGTCCCCAGGGTGCCACCACGTAGGGATGGAGTGGAACTTCTCTGTCCCTGGAAGGGCTGGGGGCTCCTGGGGAAGGGAGGTCCACCCTCACCTCCYTGGGGTGGCCTTGGGGACATCGCAGGGTCATCGGTGTGTGTGGGGGACACACCGGAGAGGCGGGGGAGGGCAGGGATCCTTCCCCGTAAGGTGCCAAAAGCAGGGGACGGGTGACACCAATCCTGTGGTGACACCAACCCTGCGGTGACACCAACCCTGCGGTGACACCAACCCTATGGTGACATCAACCCTGCGGTGACACCAACCCTGCGGTG